CAGCAGGAAGCTGGGCAACTTCTTTAAGAACTATCCTTTCATGCTCTTTATTTGTTGGAGCAAATTGAATAACACTATTTTTAACATCCATCTCTATAGCAATTTAAGGAGCACGTTGATCAATAAATAGTTGCTCATCCATGAGTTTACTTAAAGTGAACTTCACTATTAAATTAAAAATAAAACTCATTAAAAGTTAATTTTACTAAATTAAAGGTATCTTCTTCGAACGTCATATATTAACTTCGCCTTCGGATCCTAATTCAAAATAATCGGGCTTACATAGGATGCTCATTTTCTTGAACTCATCCACTATTTGTTCGAAAGGCATAGTTGCTACTTGATAGTGAGTTCCCAAGGTTGTCGATGCTTCCATAGTAGGAGGTTCAATGACAACCAATGCTTCGACAATAACTAGAGTTTCAACATTGGTCAACAACCTTGCAATAAGAGGTCAAGAGGACCCCTATTGGGGATCCTTTCCTTGCTCTTTCTCTACTTTAACTGTTATTCTTCTTCTCGGAAACTTCATCTTTATTGCAAGAGAAGCTCCAATCTTCTCTTTTGAAATTTTAATTTGATCTATTATAATCTTCTATTTATTACAAAGGTTACAAAGAGAGCAAGTAAGATGAAGAAAGAAAGTTCATTATTAAATTATGGAGAACTGCCCCCCTTTCTTTTCGATTATTGAGGATAAAAATGGTCATGAATATGATAATATTATTATATCAATTGTTGAGTTGGTAGATATTATCATTTTCTTTTTATTTTTGTGGGTTTACTAACAAATAATTAAGATAATCAAATAACTAAATATATACTTAAATATCCTATGACCAAGTTTAAATCACGGGCCAGCATCAAACACTTGACCTAGTTAGAATATTCTAGTTGAATTTGAATGAAGCATGAGGTTGCAATTGGATTCCACCAATTCGGCAAAATAACTTGGCAAACTGGTTTTGTCGACTTCAACAAACTTAACTTGATAATATCAAATACCGGCCTAGTCAGTTCAACATATTTAGTACACAAGCTCACTCAACAAGTTAGTGCAACTTCATGATTTCGCCCCATAGTCAGACAACGTCATACTGCATAATACATTACACAACTAGCTACATCATTGTCATTATTTCAATTTATTTTATTTTTTGTGTAGTCATTTATATAACCACCTCTGGAGCTAATCCAAATCTATAAATAGGTGAGGCTACTCAAGGGGTAGGGGAATATTTATTTAAAAGGTTTATACTAGTTTTCTTTTTTTAATAAATTTCCTGTTTCAACTCTATACTTGAGAGAGATTTTTTTTTTTTTTTTTTTTTTTGTGTCCCTACTCTTCTTCTTTTACAAGCCTTTATCTTGGTGTTATGTAATCGCTTACAATTCAGGATTCAACAATTTTGGTGGTTTAAACATGTACAACAAAGAATAGAAAATAAATTATTTAGAAGAGTTGATAGAACTAGTATCAAAGAATTAGAAACAAATAGAGTTCGATCTAAGATTATTGGATGGAAATTATGCATAATGATTTGTGAAGAATATGCTTAACACTTTAAATAGTACTCTTCAGGAACAAATGGAAAATTTGAAAATTTATAAATTTGAACCCTAATAATTTGGATATATCAGGCTAACAATGATGATGTTGTTTTGGCACTCAGTACAACAACAACAAACCCTTTTATCCCGCTAAGTGGAGTCGGCCACATGATCCTTTTTCTCCATTGTATCCTATTGAGTGTCATATTTTTGTTTAATTATAATAAATTAAGTTAATTTCTTATACAACATGGCCAAGTTTTTTTTATAAGTCAGTCTACCTCTACTTTTCTTAACATAGGTCAAATCAAAAGCATATACTCTCCTAATTGGATCATCACATGATCGATGTGTAATGTGACCAAACCATCTTAGGTGACTTTCTCTAGTTTTGTTTGCATCTGTAGCTACTCCAACTCTTTCATGGATATATTCATTTCGCGTTTCGTCCCTAAGTGTAAATTCACTCATCCACTTGAGCATTCTCATCCCAACAATACTTAATTTTATGTTTCTCTTTTGTAGGCCAACCTTCGGCACCATAAAGCAATACAGGTCTCACCATCATCTTATAAAATTTTCCTTTTAAGTCTAAACAAAAATTTTCTATCACACAGTAGGCCTAATGCATTCCTCTGCTTCGAGCATCCAATAACGTACATTTCCTAAAATATCTAAAATATTCACCGCTTTTAATGACTTCATCACCCATGTTGTAGCACTCAGTATAAAAAATGAAAAAGAATTGATGTTCTCATGACCTTTACATATAATATTTAGAGTTTACAAAAGTTTATGTAGCTATGTTTATGGAAATCTTACATAAGACGGAGAAATTAATCAACTTCTAAGCGTATGCATATTTGCATATATTTGCTATGAACCCACAAGCTGATCCCTTTAGTTGAGGCAAAACAAAGAAAAATAGGATGCATGATATAACTTAGAGCTTGCCTAAAACTCCAAAATTTCTTGGGGGAGGATGAGACGAGCAACTAGAAAATGCGCACAACTTCAAATAGCCTTTGGGGAATTAGACCGCTAATAGTAATAACAACCTATGAATATTAAATACCTATTTACCTCCAAAACCCATCGCCTATCCTAAAATTTCCTTTATATTTATCCCAGAACAATCTTCCATGCTCAAACCTTGTAGAAAATAAACTTCATTTTTCACTTGTAGAAAACTCATGGATTGTTTTTCAATTCTAAATCAAGGAAAAGAGTTACTTAATCATTTTATATGCCATAAAATAATATGTAAGTCTCCATGCAAAGCCTTAGGATCTACCTGAATTCCTCACACTCTTCTGTATAATTTTTTCTATACTACAGTCCTTGAAAGTTGAAACTCAATATTGTGGTGGGGATAGCACACAATTCTAATGTATTTACATATCTTACAGCTAAACTTTTTTATTTACCCAAATAGCACTCAAATCTTTAATATCACATCAAAATAGCACTATTATCACTTTTTTAAAAGTGAACTATTATCAGTGAAATACACCTTTTCATGCATAGGTTTAAAACACCAAAATGCTATGTATGTAAACATAAAAATTTTGGTTTGAGATATGCAAATACATAAGAATTGTGTGGTAAGTATGTGAATTTCTCTATTATGGTTTATTTGTATGAAGCAAATTGTTTCTTCTACTTAGATTGTACACTTCCTTCATTCTAACTATTTTAAAAAAATAATTTTTAACCTTGAGCTTTTGCAGATCATCCCATTATCCACAGAGACATTAAATCTTCCAACATCCTTCTCACAGAAAATTTACGAGCTAAAGTTGCGGATTTCGGCTTTGCACGACTCGGTGCAATCGAGGCCGATGCCACACATGTTTCAACCCAAGTAAAAGGAACTGCTGGATATCTCGACCCAGAATATCTCAAGACTTATCAACTCACGGATAAGAGCGATGTCTATTCCTTCGGAGTGCTAATGGTGGAGTTGATATCAGGAAGACGGCCCATTGAGCCTAAAAGGGATGTCAAAGAACGTCTCACTCCCAGATGGGTATGCTTAAAGTTCTATCCTAATCCATATTTATTTTTTTAATTGCATTTTTAATGGTGCAATACTCAAAATATGCAAATATATTAGCACCTAAGCTCTTTAGTCTTGCAAATATGCCTCTTTGGTTTGCGTTAATTTCTTAGATCTACTTTAAGATTGGCTAGCTCATGAAGGTTAATGTTGTGCCGAGTTAATTAAGTGGCATCCTAATGAAAATATTTGAATAGGACGATGTGTTTTAGATGGCATCGCACCAAAAAATCATATTTTTCATTATTAGACACATTAATAGACACCTAAACTTCAATGTTTAGATACATACCACATTCCCTGTGCATGAAATGTGTAATTCACTTTTTAAAAGTTAAAATTGTGGCATTTTTTTATTTGACATGAATTATATTCCTGTTATGAATGTGAACAGCTAGATATGGAAATTCATAGCAATTGAGGGCCAAAACCCAAAATAAAATCATGAAGTCCAACTCATTTTACTCCATGACATGATATAAACAGGCAATGAAAAAATTTATGGATGGAGATGGCATCCAAGTACTGGACCCAAAGCTTCTCGAGACCCCAGCAGCCTCTCTTGCCTTGGAGAAAATCCTGGAGCTCTCTTTTCAATGCCTTGCTCCAAACCGGCAGAGCCGACCCAGCATGAAAATGTGCGCTGAGATTCTGTGGAGTATCCGCAGAGACTTCAGAGAACTATCTTCTTCTGATGAGCTCTCCCATAACTCTCAGGCTAAGTCCTCCCAACCGGAGTAAACATTTGAAACATTGAAGATTTACATACTTAGCAGTTAATTCCTGTTTTACTTATCTAACACCTATAATTCAGTTTTTACATATATACCTCCTTATCTACGCATGCAATGGTGTATTCCACCTTTTAAAGTTTAGCTGGTGTAAATGTAGAATGTAAAGTTTAGGTGTTAGATGTGTAAATTCATAGGGATTGAGTGGGTATGTATGTAAAAATGCCCCTTAAAAAACATGGATTTGGGTCCTTTTTTAAGGAAATTCTTTTTGTATCATTAGTTGATTGGAGGCGAAGGTGTTTGTATAGTTTTAGTTGATATATGTGCTCTCTTAAGTGATTTTTTTGTATGTCATCAAAATTGTTAGTTCAATAAGTGTGTACAGAAATTTGGTTGTTTACTATGAAAGTCTTTGATTTATGGCAGATCTTTTCAGTGAATGATTTGTTGAGTGGATGGATAATCTCTATATATTTATGAAGGACAACTCTATAAATAGGAGGTATTGAATGCAAATCGCAATCCGATCTTTGTATAGATATATATTTCAAAATATTATGCGATTTTTTTCTGAATTTTTTTTAATTGAATTGTTCGCATATATCGTCAACACTCGACTATGCAAGAAGCTTTACAGGTGGCAATATTCTTTTGGATTTCAATAAAGGGCACAAGACCTATTGATCCATGTGGCAAGAAGCAAATCTCTTGGTCGGATGAAATCTTGTATGTTCATCTCAGTTAGAAGAAAGGAATGGTGTAAGATTTGTCTTCAACCTGCAACTGCAAACTGAGAACATACATGAAAAATTCTTTGATTTGAGCTTAATGGAGGCCAGGTAGCTTCTAATCCTTTTATTCCCAAAAGCATCTAAATTCTAAGAAGACCTTAACCCTATGATCATATCTCCATAAGATTTATGTTCATTTAATAATTGATGAGAACCAAAATGAGGTTTAAAAGAGATCTGGGGAATACTATATGTATTGAGGATTTATGGCAATTAATGCTTAACAAAAGTTTGTCTAAGTTTGCCACACACACTCCTCGTCCAATGACTAGCTAGTGAGGATGCTAAGATAGTTTTCTTGCTCTTAGTCAAAAGAGGCCAAAGACAAGTTTTGTTTCTTGGTTATGGAGGCCTGAATTTAGTGAAGAAAGTTTTGGGAATAAATGTTAAGTGTGTAAGGATTGATATGAGTGTAAATAATCAAACCTTAGGTAATTAAATTGAATGTTATTTATAGATTAGCTATGAGAACTGTTCAAACAAAGGACTAGATGTAATGATAATTTAAACTTTCTGATTAGGAATAATGCAATAGAGAATTGTAAATTGTCTTAGGTCGTTTGAGGAGAAGTGGTTAGTTGCTTTGGTTGGGCATGGCTTCAACAATTCAGAATAATTCTAGTCCTTATCAGTTAAACAAACTAATTGGATTATGAGCGAAGGCATAGTAGTTGGGCTAGAGTGGATTTGAGCATTGCCTAATAGTAAGCTTAGATGAGGTTTAAAGGTTCTAATTAGCTTGATTCAAATCTTGGTCATTAATTTGAGCTATTAGACTCATTTTTGGGTCGTATTGGGTTTATCCCAGTTCAAGCATGATTGTGTATGCTTGGAAGCTCAATTGATTATATTTGGTTTGCCTAAAAGAGGGATTGGCTCTATAATTTTTATTGGAGTCGGTAATAGGTTATGTGACTCATTAGTGCAACATCAATCTTAATTAATTTAAATTGATTTTAAATTAATAATTCATTTGATCAAGCTTAATTGAGTTTGGTTTAAAGAAATTTTGATTTGAGTGAACGTTGACTTAATCATCCCATCATAAGTCATGTTGGATCAAGTTAACCCATTTAGCTAAATTAAGGTTAAGTGATTTCAATTAATTGAGTTAAGTTCAAATTAATTTTATGCTTTATCTGATTTAATTTGAATTATATTTATGTGTCTTTAAGTGAGTTTAACACAACATCCTCTTCTTAGGTCACATTAAAGCTGACAACACCAAGTGGTCCATATTGAACTCAATTAATTAGATTTTAATTTTTATAGTCAATGTGGGTACATTCTTTTAGGGCATTCAACTATGTATGGTTTGTTTTGTTATTCCCCTAGGTCAAAATAAGCCAACCTAGGGTTTAAAAACTTGAAAAGTACAAAAGTGTGGTTCTTAATGATGTATAAGCTAATTAAGCACTTTATAAACCAAATGCTTGAGTAATGGGCTTGATGTGATTAGTGAGACCTATAGAGTTCCAAAAATAGAACTAGTCAAATTGGATCACCATGCCTATGCTAATTAAACTAGTTAAATACTCCTTATAAACTGGATGCTTGAGTAATGGGTTTAATGATTTCATTTTATTTGTAGTTTTTAGACAAATTCATAGGTAATCAAGCTAATCAAACACAAAATTTAAATTAATTAGGAGGTGAGCCAAAGAGATATTCATATAGAGAATAGAGGTGAAGTGTGGGGTTGGGTTGATTTATGTGATAGACTATCATGATAAAATAATGAGTCTAATAAGAAAGTTAAATGAATACATGAGATAATGAAAGCTCGATTTTGATAATATAAAATAATCTCAGTGGATTAATGAGATAAGAGATGTCATTGGTAGATTAAATTATTTCAAGGTCTTAATGATTGCCACCTTTATCATAGTATAAGATGGCAATTTTTAATAGGAATTTAAACCCAATGAAGCCAACATAAACATGAGATTTGTTTTCCATTATGGTAATAATACAAAATATATTTTGTATAACGACTGATAAAAATGATATAGTATTTAAAATTTTCCCACCGCAAAAGTAAGGTTCGAATATTGAATAATATATTTTAACATGTTGAAAATATGTAATAATGAAGGTAGAAAATGCAAATTTATCATCTTCTTTACATTGATAAAGATGGTAATAAAGCGTTAAAAAATGTTGATTTTTTTTTAATTTATTTTATTTATGTTTAACTTCTCTTTAGCACAAGAAAAGATTGTTAGAGTTCACTTACGCAGACAATCAATATTTCTCATCATGAAGCTCTAAAAAAGGCCAACTTGACTTGAAAAGGTTATGGATCATCTTGTAATAGGGATAGCCTCAATCATATTATACTAAACTAATGAGGATTGGCAAAAAAAAACTCTAGATTTGCTTCTACTAAGTATTTAGGTGGCTCCATCACTTTCATTGCACACAAGAATTTTATTTAAAAATAATTAATATTAAATTATATTTAATAATAAAATATAATGAATAATTAATATTTAAAGATAAATATATTATTATCATAGGTCTTACACGTTATAGTCATGTTAAATCATCTTGCAATAAAGATTGGAGTATGAAAGATTTTAGAGAACCATGTAAAAGAATGTTGGCAATGATAATGACATCAACCTTTGATCTTGTGCATGATTTAGAATATTTATCTTCTCATTTATGAAATTTTAATATTAATATATTACGTTATAATGTCTTGTTAGTAGTGAAAAAAAAAGAAATATTCACTACTTAAAAAAGAGTTTTGGCAGCACTTTATATAACCAATTACATTAGTAAAAACCCTTGTTATATTCATTGCAGCGGACTTTAAATCGTGCAATTGTTGGCTCACCAAAGACTTTTAGCAACGATTTTAAATACTTTAATGCATTTTCTTAATATTTTTAACAGATTTTCTTAAAAGTGTCTTTAAATCAGCATTGCCAAAAATATTTTTTAAGTAGTGATTATATCTCAAAAAATGGAGATTGGTTAAATAGCAAACTAATCATGTTAATCCACACCAAGATAATAACTTCATACCTAACAAATGTTAGCCAAACACACCAATTTATAATTACCAATTTTAAGCTAATCTCCACAATGATTTTGAGGCATTAAAAACACTTAAAACTTATTTTATAAATAATATTTCATTGTAGTTCAAATTAGCACAATCAAGATTATTTTAGCATTCCTTTTACCGTACCTCTCCAAAATCCTTATATTTAACATAAACTTCTGATCACACATACATGTCTTAATACAATCATTGATAGCCATTTCAGTCCATTAAATTTAGTATCTAAGCCTAAACTAAATATTTTTCACAGTAATGAGAAGGTTTTCTTTTCTCATTGTGCTTGATGGGTTAACTATTGAAACCTATATCTCAATTCTATGTTGTTTGATAGCAGAGATTAATAAGAATTCTAGTATGTGTATGTCACAATGACTATTGTATACTAAAATATGGGAGTTCTTACCAAAAATTCTCTTACTGAATTGAGCCCACAGGTCAGAGGGGCTAAATTGAGCCCACTCGTCGAAGTAGCTGAATCACATCCACTTGTTAAAGCAGCTTTCCTTAACATCTAACAACTCAAGAAACCTCCGAGGAGCCACCTCCTCCCGGCTTACCAGAGATCAAAAACTAACACATTTCCTAAGACTCCTTTAAAAGAATCTCATCCACAACTCTCTCTCTCTCTCTCTCTCTCTCTCTCTCTCTCTCTCTCAAGCATCCTCTTTGTGATATAAAACTTTTATTGGATTGTATGTACTCACGAATCATACAAAACTCTATGTCCTAAAAGGAAACCTTTTAATTTTTTATTGTTATTAAAGAATTTTCGTTAAGTTATTCAAACATGCTTCTTGTGTGTTTTCATTTCTATCTAGTTATTTTTTTAATGTCAAACTCTTATATTCAATGTTTCATTTGTAATCATTCCCTCGATTTATATTAATCCTCAGTTTGATGACTCGGATTAACCTTTAAAAATCATTAAAAATTAGTTTAATTTTTTTAACCAAAAAAACTAGCCGTTATCTAAATTGAGCTGCCTATTTGGTTTATCTTTCTTCTTATATTTTAGTATTTTCATATATTATCTATTCATATTATATATTTCATTTCTCTTCTTATTTACATCCATTTAATTCCAAGAGCCACAGAGGAATTTTTCAGCTATTCCACTATAAATATTGCATGCTTATTTATTACATAAATTAGAGCTCCCAATCATACAAAAAACAAAGCAACTGAATTTACTTGCTCAGTCCAAATTATAATTAAACAAATAGCTTTTAAATGCTCTCATTCATGCTTAAGAGTTGATTGGAATTTCCACTAGGTCCAGATCGAATCGAAATAAATGCGAGAGCTATGAGCCATAATTTTGAATCTTTTTTCTTTTTTCAAACTAAACCAACTCATCCCAAAATCAAATCTTTAACAGCTCTAATTCATACTTTAGAGTTGATTGAAATTTCAGCTCGGTCGAGATCCAATTGAAATGAATTTGCTGATCATTTTTTTTGTTCAAACTAACCCAGCCTCGTCCCAAAATCAAATCTTTAACAATCCCTCGGATATTAAGACTTTGGATTCAGTGAATTTAGCTCGAAATCTCTCGAAAATTGATTCGAAAATTAGCTCGGAACGAGATAAACCAACTCGGTCCGAACACGGATATTTAACTACCCTTCAAACCCTGGCTGACCTCCAGCCCCCAGCACTCGGCCGGCTCAAGCCATGCAAAGGCCAGTGCAGAACAGTTGGAGTTCTCTCCAACATAGAATAATATTTCTCACATGACTCGCTTTATTAGGACAACAGAAAGCATATCCATCTCACTCACTCCTTATAACCAGTCTTCCCCATTCGCTAGATTTCAATTTCTCAAGCTGGAGACAGTTCTACTTCTCATTAAAAAAACAATCTTTTTTAATTATACTCTCTCTCTCCTTTCTTCATATATATGCTACACATAACCACCTTCTACAATACCATTAGCAATCCATGGACAGCAAGCATCACAAGAAGCTCAACGCCGACTCGCCGGAGCCGGCCATGTCCGGAGATGACAGCACGGCCGCTACGTCCTCCACGCATGCCGGAAGGTACTACGAGTGTATCTTCTGCCGGAGAGGATTCTCGACCGCGCAGGCGCTCGGCGGCCACATGAACATACACCGGAGAGAGCGGCCGAGGATTCGGCCGGCAACCGCTCTGCCGCCGCTGAGAAGAGAGGAGGGCTACCATCCTTACTTGAGAGATCAGCAATGGCATCCTCCGACTCCGGCGGCCGAGAATTACGTCGTGTATTTCCCGGGACCGTCTTCTTCGATGGAGTTGGATAGCCCGAAAGAGCGGCCGGCGGCGGAGGAGAGGGAGGTGGAAATGGAGGATCTGGATTTGGAGCTTCGGCTTGGTCATGGTGGAAGACATGAGGAACCATGATCATTGATCAATATAATCATCATTATCATATGTCTTTATCTTAATTTATTATTTGTGATTGGTTTTAAAAATCGATATATTTGCATTTTTGGTCTGTTACATGCAAGAATGTTAGATTTGTTTATCATAAGTTATTAAGAGAGTTTTTAAGGTTTTTATTAGTATCTTAATCATAATTATTATTATTATTATTATTTTTTTTTTGTGTTGGCATTAAAACATATATAATAATTAATAGGGAGCAAATTAAAATATTGATCAAATGCATTAAAATAATTTTGAATATTTATGAAGTTAGTTTTGTGGTAATGAGGGAATGATTTAGATAGATTTAATTAGTTTTTTTTCTAATTTAAAAAAATATATATATAAAGAGATTTATTTATTAGTAAATATATTTTTATTGTCTTCATAGGCGTTTGGCGGTGGTTGTTTGTATTGGGATATTTAGCCTTAAAGACCCTACATTTTCTTAATTTAATACCTTCAATTAATGTAAGAGAAAGGTTTAAATTTTTAAATTAGGAAGTTGTATCAAATGTTTGAAGATTTTGATTGTTTAGTTTATTTTAATTTTACTTGGAGGTTAGTGTCATTGAAAATTTCTCACCTTTTGGGCAATTTGTATATTTAGTTTAAGTGAAATTTCTTAGTGATGTGGTCCACTAATTTATTAAATTTTGGACTTAATTAAGTTGCTTGGTTAATAAAATAATAATAATTTATTGGGGCGTTTACATATCTTATTCTAGACTCAACTTTTTTTTTTTTATATTTGTACCATCTAAATTATTCAAATTACATCAAAGGTATTATTATTTTAATTATTAAGAAGTGAAATTAATATTTTCATGCATAAGGTGGTGTTTAAATGTCGACCATCTGATGATCCAATCAGGAGAGCAGGTGTTTTAGATTTGACTTATGTTAAAAAGGCAGGGCTAGACCTAGGACTTGGGTATGTTGTATAAAAAATGTTCTTAATTTATTGGAATTAAATGAAAATATGACACTAAATAGGATGTAGCTGACACCACTTGGTGGGATAAAGGCTTGTTGTTGTATAAGTGAGGTGAGATGTATGTACACAATTGAAGTTTAGAGGTTAGATATGTAAATACAAGGGAAAGTGGTGTGCTTTTAAATCCTCCTAATTTGTTTGATCTTATAGATGTACTCCTGAACCAAATGTAATGATTTTAAGGAAATATCAAATGTTGAATTCCTTAAAATGCAGGGTCTCCTATTGCTCGTAAGTAGATACAAACCCGTAAAGGTTTTATTTTTATAGAAGAAATGCAGAAGAAAGAGATATTGGTGTAAGACTTGTAAATGGTCTCAGAGATTCGAGCCTCCGATAAGCGAAATATCAGGCTTGTTGAACTAAAAGGTTTCTTAGGGAGTCTCTCTCTCTCTCTCTCTCTCTTAGTTTTTTATTTTACATAGGATCGAAAAAATAATAAAAAATATTTTCACTATTGTAAGGTTTTCATTGACGGTGTCTTGATGTAAAGACCGTGATGTGGACGTAAAATAACGTGTTTAAGAATTAATGGACCTATGTCCTTGCTGGTAATGATGACCATCTCCAGTATTTATATCTCTTTAGGCTGGCTAGGCTGCCCCCCCATGGGTGGAAAGAGACATGTTCAATCACTTAGCAATAGTGGGCTCAGTTCAGCCACTTCGGCAGGTTAGCTATGTTGAACTACTACAGAAAATGGGCTCAATTCCGTCATTTCAGCAGGTGACTCCATTCAACCATTTCGACAGGTGAGCTCTGGAATATACGTAAAAAGTCCTGTTTTCAGACACGAGTTCCATATTATTTCAATAAATTTATAAATTTATATGCACAAACTGATTAGTAAAATTTTAAAATTTAAGCCAAAAAAAAAAAGAAAAAAAAAACCAAGAATTTGGATATTCTTAACATAAATCAACCAATGGTAGAAAATTAGATCTTTTACGATGTAACATGTGATAATATATATATATATATATATATATATATATATTCAAC